AAATTCATCTATGTTTTCCTCTAAATAACATTAGTCTTCAACTGTTGGTATGATCTATCAGTCTAATAGATATTGGTTTCTAATGATACTTTAGAAGGCATGTCTGCCTGCTTAGCTATGGAAATTGTGGCCTCAGCTGTGGATGTGAGTCAAGGACTACCTGTATGGTGTTTGAGTCTTGCTGTCACTATTAAGCAATAATTCTTTTTTTTTTTTAAAGAGAACATTCTAAAATAAAGTGCCCCCACTGGAGGCTATTTTTTGTGAATTTTATAGTGCGGGTAGAATAGAATAGAATAGAATAGAATAGAATAGAATAGAATAGAATAGAATAGAACTGGAAGGGACCATGGAGGTCTTCTAGTCCAGCCCCCTGCACAAGCAGGACAACCTACAGTATACCATCTCAGACAGGTGAATGTCCAGTCTCTTCTTAAAAATCTCCAGTGATGGAGCGCCCACGATTTCTGGGGGTAAGCTGTTCCACTGGTTAATTGTCTTCACTGTTAGGAAGTTTCTCTTTAATTCCAGGTTGCTTCTCTCTTTGATCAGTTTCCAACTATTGTTTCTCGTCCTTCCCTCTGGTGCTTTGGTGAACAACCTGTCCCCCTCTTCCTTGTGGCAGCCCCTCAAATACTGGAACACTGCTATCATGTCTCCCCTGGTCCTTCTTTTCTTTAGACTAGCCAGACACAAGTCCTGCAGCCGTTCTTCATATGTTTTAGCCTCCAGGCCTTTGATCATCTTAGTTGCTCTTCTCTGATTTTTTTCCAAACTCTCAACATCTTTTTTTGTAATATGGTAACTTTGCACTTTGTTTGGTGACCTTTCAAAGTTACAACAGCACTGGAAAAAATGACTTATGGCCATTTTTCACACTTATGACCGCTGTAGCATCCCCGTGGTCACGTGATCAAAATTCACACGCTTGGCAACGGACTCGCATTTATGACGGTCGCAGTGTCCCAATGTCACGTGGATCCCCCTTTGGCGACCTTCTGACAAGCAAAGTCAACAGGGGAAGCCAGATTCACTTAACAACCGTGTTACTAACTTAAGAACTGCAGCGATTCATTTAACAACGGTGGCAAGAAAGATCGCAAAACAAGGCAACACTCAACAAATGTCTCACCTGGCAATATAAAGTTTGGGCTCAGTTGTGTTTGTAACTGAGGACTAGCTGTATGTGACTTATACCAATGTTCTTCTTGGTCTCTTATTCTTTTCCATTTCAATTGACAGATTTGATTTGCAAAATTGTGCCTCAACCTTTAGCAAAACACGAAAGAAATCTATTTTTGGCAACAAGTCCATTCCGGAAGGAAATCCAGTCCTGTTTATCAAGGATTCACAGCCTCGCATTGAAAACATTGGATACGCAGTCGATTTTTTTACTTTCTAATTGTTTATTTTCAGATTTTGTTTGTGTTTGTGTGTGTGTGTGTGTGTGTGTGCTTTTATAATTATACTTTCAGGCCCAATTAAACTTCCAAACTTAATGCCGATGAAACTGTAGCTCCTTAAAAATATGCAGATCAGAATGTTCAAATAAAAAGCTTTGGATGTGTGAATTTCCCAGGTCAACTTGTGAATAGCAAAACAAATATGCATTCTCTTTAAAAAGAAAAAATCATTTCATTGGTTCGGCAATTCTGTTCCATTAAAAGACAGATAGAGCTTAAAATAGCTCACGATACGATCCTACGCCTGTCTTAGAATTTCAGATTTTTTTCATGAGGAAGTCCAGCAAAACCCTCGTAATAACTGTCCCTGCGTATAATTAAAAACCAAGACTGCTCAGGTCTTTAACCGTTTGGGGGTACGAGGAACCCCTAAATGGCTAACCGGCAGCTTGGCAGCTTGGCTGTGTTTCAGTCTTCTTTTCCAAACTTCTCAAATGCTAACGATAGATTGAAGATTATTATTATTGGTTTGTTGCACAGTTGGCCAGATGTTCAGACTGGATTTGATATTTTTGTCCACCTATTCAGAGTCCTTCCCAAGGACCTGGGATAGGCAGATGTTGATGCTTTATGGTGTTAGAGGTCTCATAATTATTTCTTCTCCTTCTCCTTTTCCTCCTCCTCTTCTCCTCCGCCTCCTCCTCCTCCCATTCTCCTCCTCCTCTTTCCATTTTCATCCTCTTCTTTCCATCCTCCTCTCCTCCTCCTCCCATCCTTCTCCTATTCTCCTTTTCCTCCCCTCCTTCTCCTCCTCCTCCTCTCCTCCTCCGCCTCCTCCTCCTCCCCTTCTCCTTCCATTTTCCTCCTCTTCTTCCCATCCTCTCCTCCTCCTCCTCCCATCCTCCTCCTATTCTCCTTTTCCTCCCATCCTTCTCCTCCTCCTCTCCTCCTCCGCCTCCTCCTCCTCCCATTCTCCTCCTCCTCCCATTCTCATCCCATTTTCCTCCTCTTCTTCCCATCCTCTCCTCCTCCTCCCATCCTTCTCCTCCTATTCTCCTTTTGCTCCCATCCTTCTTCTCCTCCTCCTCGCCTCCTCCTCCTCCTCCCATTCTCCTCCTCCTCCCATTCTCCTTCCATTTTCCTCCTCTTCTTCCCATCCTCTCCTCCTCCTCCTCCCATCCTTCTCCTCCTATTCTCCTTTTCCTCCCATCCTTCTCCTCCTCCTCCTCCTCCCATTCTCCTCTTCCTCCACTTCCTCTTCATTCCTCTTCCTCTCCTCCTCCTCCTTCTCCTGCTGATACTTTTGAGAAAGTAACAGGGAAAATGTTGTAAAGGAATTGAATTCTCCTTCGGTTTCCCCAGCTTGGCCGACAATTAAACCTACAGTCATAAGTTCCGCTGGATTCCAACATCAATGAGGGGATCAAGCACATTTTGAATCTCGCATTTAATTTTGAATAAAGGGTATCGTTCGTTTTTTGCTTTTTTTCCTACCATTCTATTGAATTTTATTTTGCCCATTATCTCTCTGTTATTCCCCAAGGGCTGCTGGTAGTAATTAAGATCTACATTGCACCCTTTTGTGATATAATTAAACTCAGTGTTTAATTAGAAAGCCTAGCCAGGGCCAAAGGAAGAGAAATCAATTTTGTCTCTAATGGGCCAAGCAAGAATAACGGAAACGTACAGGAAAACTTGAAATGGTATCAAAAAAATCAGCTCAGAGCTAACCCTTGACTTCTGCGTCAGTTGAAACCTCACCGTGAAATCCTTGAACTTGAACACCGTTGGCATTGACAAATTCGCCATCAGTCAATTGCAAACAGCTCCCATCCTGCGACGAGATCTGTTAACACCATCAAACATCCACATCTGCCTATCCCAGGTCCTTGGGAAGGACTCGATAGGTAGACAAAAATGCCAAATCCCGTCTGACTGTGCGATGATCAATAATAATAATAATTTATATTGTTGCTCCCCCTGGAAATCTCCTCCCAAACCTGCAAACAACTGTCTCTGAATAAACCAGTACAAATACAACGTGTCACGGTTTTCAGTTCCTCTAGACCAGGGGTCCCCAAACCCTGGTCTGTCGACCGGCACTGCACAACCGGTCTGCACAAACAAGCAAAGCCCTATCCGCGGGATGCAGGCCGCACACAAAACCACGCACTCTCCGGTCCGTGGAAAAACCTCTCTCCACGGAACCGGTCCCTGGTCCTCAAAAGGTTGGGGACCTCTGCTCTAGAGGCGAATCTGATCTGCACAATGAGAAGAAGAGAAAGGAGATACTCTGTTTCTCCTCCTATTTGGTTTTCCTTTTTCACTTTGTAATAACATTTTCTACACCTCGCTTCAAGGGAGGATAAACATCTGTGATGGCTGCCGAAGTGAGACCTACTTGTTCTGGAAAGGTGGTTGAACCAAACCATGTACCACCGGTGTTAATTTTTTGGGGAAAACAAAACACCCACTATCTTTGAAAGGGAGGGGTGTGTGTCTTAGATCATGAGGTTTAGGTTCTCAAAAGCCAGCCCGAGGAAAATTAATGTACACGAAGGCGTCGGGGAAAGAAATTTGCAAGTTGCCTCAAAGCTATGAGCGTGGGAAATTTGCAATACCAACATTAAAACTGTCCAAGCTTGGTCTACTGCACAAGGGCAGCTGCTAAAATCTGGGTCTACACAAGGTTTGTGCCTTGTCTTAGTGAGATACCACAAAATACAAATGCTTAGGCCCAGCACATCTTTAAGGGTGGAAAAGAATAAAGTCACGGGAATAAAACAACGTGGAGCATTGTGTTCTGCCTTTAAAAACAGGAAAGTTAAACCACCAAGCTGATCTAGACTCCTGGTGACTTTGTGGATATATCCATGCTGTTTCCTTGGTAGCAATACAAATATGGTTTGTTATTATCTTCAGCTAGAATGTTGATATTTTTTTAGGACATACATCCCTGGTGTTTTGGGTAGTCTCTCTTCCAAATATTTAACCCGCGATGTGTAACTGCCAGCTATTCATGGCTAACCTCGACTGAAACATATTTTTCTCTGTTTTGCCTTGGGGAATATTGTAAAGGCATAAGAATCAGGACCACCCTTTAGTGTTAGATATTTGTGGGAACATAAGGATTCCAGGTTGATTCCTCTCTTGACTCCAACCCCAGGCTCTGCCCTCTTTCTCCCATAGATATGTGGGAATCATCTTGGGAGACAGAATGAAAAGCCAGGGCAAGGATTAGATAAAAGGCACCTTAGCCCACAGAAGTAACACGGGTGTGTTAAACCCCTCAAAAGGAACCATCCATAGTTTCTTAGTTTGAAATCCAAGAAACCAACCATGCCCTTGTAATAAAAACAGGAATCAAAAAGAACAAAAGAAAGGCATTAAACAGTATGAAACAAAGGAGAAAAACCAGAATCTTAACAATGCCATTCAGATTATAATTTTTCAGTATCCGCATGCTAAAAGTTATAATTTCCCATTCTATAATTAATTCAATTTTCTACAACTCTTAGAATCCACCCAAAACAAGTACAGGAAACAGAGTGATTTTCACCAATGGTTGGTCGTTGATCGTGCAGAGAGCTTCCTTACCTTTTGGGTCTGTAGTCTGGAATAGATCTGTCCAATGAAATCCGATCACTCAGTTGCGCATTATAACCATATTCTTCATATTTCGTTTCGGATTCATGGCTGTCGTCTCTCAGTGTGGCAGCCATTCCTCCTTGGCCCAAACCGCCTGGGCCTTCAACTAATCCCATTGGTTTGGCTAGACCTGGGAAGAAAAAGAGAAAATACGGATGCTCTTAGTTTAGAAAATCAGAGGAGTGGGTCAACGATAGAGTATTAAAAGCAGAGTAAGTCAGGAAGTCCAGGCATATTCAAATGAATATAAAGGTTTATTGGAAGCTTCAGCTCTCTACAAGAATCTGAGCTACTAACGGCCAAAGCAAATTGGTGGTAGGTAAGAGTCAACAGAATTCAAGGTGGTCTCTCTTGTGGGTGCCAAGGGATTCCAGACTGATGATGCATTTGACCCCTCCCTCAGACTCAGCCTGGTCATCTCCTACACATAGACAGTCAAGCTGGAACCTCCACCACTTCCTTCAGTGTTGTCCCATCCCAGGAGAAACTTTGCTTAAGCCAAAATCGCATCCTTCTCTGGCTGGAGGTCAATTTCACTCCGTAGCTGGATTAAAAATGCCAAATTCAGTCTGAATGTCAACAAAGCATAATTCTTTCTCTCTTTTGTGGATCTTAGAGCTGCTAATTGAATAAACCAATGGTTTTGTCATTGTAGGAGGAAACCTGGTTTCCTACTGCCCATCACTCCTAAGTAACTGTCTATGGAGATTCTCTGTCATCTAGGTCATCTTGGTTGTCCCAAAGATGATTTTTCAAGAGCCAACTGGACAAGAAAGCAAGGAGGGAGGGAAGGAAAGAAGGAAGGAAGGAAGGAAGGAAGGAAGGAAGGAAGGAAGGAAGGGCTATGGGCTCCTAGGTGCTCTCTGAGCTTGCTTGTTTCTTGCAGACATTTCATTACCCAAACTAGATACCATCATCAGTGCTAGAAGGGAGAAAGGAAGAGTCCATGGAGATTCTCAGTCATCCAAGTCATGGTTGTCCCAAAGGTGATTTTTCAAGAGCCAACTGGACAAGAAAGCAAGGAAGGAGGGAGGGAGGGAGGGAGGGAAGGAAGGAAGGCAGGAAAGCAGGAAGGAAAGAAGGAAAGAAAGAAGGAAGGAAGGAAGTCTATGGAGATTCTCAGTCATCCAAGTCATGGTTGTCCCAAAGGTCCCTTTTCAAGAGTTAATTGGACTTTCTTTGTTTTTCCTTGAAGACGTTGTGAAGAAACTTCTTGAATGAGAAGCGAAGCAAAGAACGTCCAGTTACCTCTTGGTAAAGCACCTTTGGGACTCCTAAGTAATAATTCGTTACTTCATGACATCAATCTTCACATAGATTCAGAAATCCTTCCCATGTTCCCCAACTAGATCCTAGAATACATAATGGGTTTCAGAATTTGAACCCTGGTTGCTGGTCTATGCAAGACAATCCAGAGAGACATCAACAAAAAAAGCTTGCAGATAGCTTTGTGCTGCAGTCTTCTTGTACACCGGTAGTGCTGGTAGACACAATAGCATGGCTTAGCCCTTCTGTCTCTCAGGACATAAAATTCATTACTTTTTTTTAATTGGAAGTGATACTACATTTATGTGTAGAGATCTCCAATATCAAAATGTAATTGCTTTTAAGGAATCCTCATTTGAAGCCCGCTTCCCCTGGAGAGAAGGAGATGGAGTCTAATTACGAGAGATAATTTGAGAGAAGATAAACAAATAACAGAAGATCATCAAGGTCAACAATGGATCAACGCAAAAGGTGCTAGAAGTAGGTTTCGCAGCAACAGCAAGCATAGATTTGATTAAATATTACCTATCATTACTGGCATGGAGAAGTGAAGATTTTTGAGGATGGATTGGCCATATTAAGAGAATAAAGAGGCAACGTTTGGGAGATAGAAGTAGGGTGATGAAGGAAAACCTGTGTGAGTTTTCCTCTCTCCCTAAGCTACTCTACTGGCCTTCAAATGCAATGGAGGACATTGTCTCAGGGTCCAAGAGTCAACTGCCCATCCAGATGACTTTGGGGTCCTTGGTGCTCTCTGAGTTTGGTTGTTTTCTCACAGATGTTTCATTACCCAACTAGGTAACATCATCCATGTCGGAAAGGAGTGGCATTTGCTCTCTTTTAACACCAAGTTTAACAGAAGACCAACAATGCCCAATCAAGGAACTACCAACTCAGATAAACAAACAAGCAAACAGTAAACAACAGTCTAATCAAGGAGTCACCAAATACTCCTTATCAACATTGACATGGGAAACCACTTGTATCGAAAAAGACAGCCAACCCCACTCCCTTTTAACACTGATGATGTTACCAAGTTGGGTAATGAAACATCTGCAAGAAAACAACCAAGCTCAGAGAGCACCAAAGACCCACAGTCCTCCTCCTCCTCTTCCTCCTCCTCCTCCCCTCCCTATTCCCCCTCATCTTTCTTCTCCACTCCACAAATTCCACTCCTGTCTAGCACTGATGATGTTACCGAGTTGGGTAATGAAACACCTGCAAGAAAATGACCAAGCTCAGAGGACCCCAAGGACCTGAGAGTCCTCCTTTTTCAATTCCTCTCCACATACCCTACTTCCTTCCAATACTGATGACGTTACCTAGTTGGGTGATGAAACATCTGCAAGAAAACTACCAAGCTCAAAAGAGCATCAAAGACCCCTGACTCTGAGCTAGGAATATTTTCTTCTGTCGGTATCCAATATTTTTTCTCTATGGAACAGGAAGGTGAATCTAAACATTGCAAACATTTGGGATGTGTCATCCATCCATCAGATGACTCAGTAGACACCCTAGTGACACACCAAACAACCAGGCAACTAACATAAAGCGATCAACCTGGAAAAAGTGCCAAATCTCAACGAACTTTCGGTCCAGATGGCTTTCCAATTGGTCCTTGGAAAAACGTCTAGGTAATGTCTGCTTCCAAGATCACTGTGGTGGTAGCAGTATCTCCGTTTGACTACATGAAATCCATTCCTTTCTATTTCTCATAATGCTGGCATTATGCACAATCACATCCCCGCTTTGTTCTTGTCTGGGTTTTTTTAAGCTAAAAAGGGGAAAAAAGAAAACCCCGCAGCTACATTGTTTCTGATCACTGTTTTTCCATTTTTTTTTTTTTGCTTAGACGGGCGTTTTCTTTTCGCTTGTCAGAAAGGTAAAACCCTCACATCTGTTCCACTCCTGAATGCTTGCATCATCGAGAAATGCTTCCTACGGAGTGGGCGAGGGTTAGGCCTCCCTTTTCACATGTTTACAATCCTGTTTCTCTTTTGTCACCTTCGATCTGCAATATCCTCATTGTGAAGAACCAGAGAAAGTTCTATATATGTTGAATAAATCCATACTTTCTCCTTCTCCCTCCCTCCCTCCTTCCCTCTCTCCCTCTCTCCCTCCCTTTCTTTCTCTTTCTCTCTCTTTCTCTTTCCTCTCTTTCTCTCTCTCTCTCCTCGCCCACTCTCTCTTTCCTCTCTCTCTCTTTCCTCTTCACCTCTCTCTCTTTCCTCTCCCTCTTTCTCTCTCTCCCTCTCTCTTTCCTCTCTCTCCCTCTCCTTCTCTCTCTTTCTCTCTTTTTCTGTCTCTCCCTCCTTCCCTCCCGCCCTCCCTCTCTCTCTCTTTCTCTCCCTCTTTATCTCTCTCTCTCTCTCTCTCTCTCTCTCTCTCTCTCTCTCTCTCTCTCTCTCTCTCTCATTTTAAGACTCCCACCTCAAGATATGAATCAGAAGACTGGAATATTTATAACTAAGGATTCTCAGCAGATTTGGGAGGGCAAAAATGCAGGCTGGAGACTCCTGGGATGAAAGATGACCCAAAGATCAGACACACACACACACACACACACAGAGAGAGAGAGAGAGAGAGAGAGAGAGAGAGAGAGAGAGAGAGAGAGAGAGAGAGAGAGAGAGGAAATACTAATGATACAGCATCTGCATTGCTGCTAGGCAACCGTATCAGACATGTTTCTCTCTTTCCTCACTTTGTCAATCAAGAAAACTAAGGACACTTCTTGCTATTGGACCATTTGCTGTCTGAGCAAAGACATTTTGCTTCTCATCCAAGAAGCTTCTTTAGTTCTGGAGACGCTTCTTGGATGAGAAGCCAAACATCTTCAAGAAAATCTAGTGGCCTTTTGAAGAAGAACCTCTGGGACAACCGTGACCTGGAGGACTGAGAATCTCCACAGACATCTGACTGGAGATGTTCCTCAGGATGACGTGAAGCAACCACGAACCCTTTGAAGAGCCTTACCAGTGTTGGGAAATTCCCAGCAAGGCCGGGGAGGAGGAGGAGGAGGCAAGTGGGGAACTAGCCTCGAGTCCTTCCATGAAACCATATCTGTTTGCTGCCAAGGAAAGGCAAGCAGTCTGGGGAGATTCTTGTAATATAGGTAGAAAGCAATAAAGTTGCTGACTGGACTTTTCACGAGTGGATCTGGGGGCTTGTGCTGGACAAGGAGGCACAATTAGAATCTAGGGCAGTGATGGCAAACCTTTAAGAGACCGAGTGCCCAAACTGCAACCCAAAACCCACTTATGCATCGTCGAGTGCCGGGTAGGTGTGGCCCATTGGGTGGGTGTGGCCCATTGGGTGGGCGTGGCTGCGGTGGTAACGGCAGACTGGGTGGGACTAAAAAGTTCAATCAATCAATTCCAACTTTGCAAGATCTTTTTTTTTCCCCGCGAGAAGTTGAAATTGATTGATTGATTGAATCTTTTTTTTTTTTTTTGCACACAGCAGCGGAGGCCTAAAGCGAAAAGGTTTTATAAAACCCAGCTGAAGGCCTAGGACTGGGGCGATGGCACGTGTGCCCACAGAGAGGGCTTTGAGTGCCGCCTCTGGCACCCGTGCCATAGGTTTGCCACCACTGGACTAGAGCCCAAACTCACCTTCTCATCTAAATACAGATATTCCTCAACTTCCAACCATTCCTTTAGTGACTGTCAAAAGGCACGGAAGAAAGCGGCTTACAATCAGTCCTCACACTTAGGACCATCGCAGCATTCCCAAACTGGTAACCCGGCATGCGTTTACAACAGTTGCAGCCTCCCGGGGTCACATGGTTGCCACTTGTGACCTTCCCAGCCGGCTTCCGACATGTTAATGAGGGAAGATGGATTCGCTTAACGACAGCATGGGATT